AAATGGCAATCTTTAAACTCCCATAACTTTACGAAGATTGATCACAGGTGAAATATCTTTTCAAATTTGAGCTCAGGACAACAATACCTTTCGAATGATTTTTAAAAATTCCGTCAAAAATGGCTAGTTAAAAAGTCGAAATTTGTCTGAAGAAAAAAAACCCACCCCGAGCACAAATATTCCGTTACTTTCGTATCGAAAGTCGGAACAACAAGACTGCTCGTATCAGGGCAAAGCCCTGAATGTTCCGACTGCCTTTTGAGGTTTATGGAGCAGTAATAACAAAAAAAAATCAATAAAACAAAAAAAAAATTAAATTTTTTTTTCTCTAAAATTTGAAAATTTTAATGAAAATCATCCCCCCACACGCCATGTAGAGTACAAAAGGATAGATTTCGCTCCTTGTAACAAATCAATTAGCTTAGTTAAGCTTTTTTCAACCAATTTGAAACAATTTTAAGACAGATTAACCCTCCGCTTACGCGTTAATAGCGCGAATTATATCGCGCGTTTATTGTCCCAAATTGGTCAAAATAGCAATCTTGAAACCCCGTAACCTTACGAAAAACGATCACAGGAGAATTATGTTTTCAAAGTTAAGCTCAGGACAACAATATCTTTTGAATGATATTAAAAAAAATGTTAAGAAGTCGAAAGTTGTCTGAAGAAAAAAAACCCACCCCGAGCACAAATATTCCGTTACTTTCGTATCGAAACTCGGAACAACAAGACTGCTCGTATCAAGGCGAAGCCCTGAATGTTCCGACTGCCTTTTAAGATCTATGGAGCAGTAATAACATGAAAAAATTAAGTGTAATAAAAAAAACGAATTTTTTAATATGAAACTTTTTGTGAAATTTATCCCCCCATACGCCACATAAAGCACAAAGTGATAGATTTTGCTCCTAGTAACCAGTCAAGTATGGCAAATAAATTTCCTTCAATCTATTTGGAACAACTTCTAAGACGGATTAAATTTCCGCTTACGCGTTAATAGCGCGAAAAAAATCGCGCATTAATTGTCCTAAATTGGCCAAAATGGCAATTTTTAAACCCCCGTAACTTTACCAAAAATGAAGTCGAAATTAATCTAAAGAAAAGAACCCACCCCGAGCACAAATATTCCGTTACTTTCTCATCGAAAGTCGGAACAAAAACTGAAAATTACGCTTTCAATTAGTTTTCAAAAGTTTTAAGTCCAACTTTAGCTTTGATACTTAAAAATAAACGAGACTGCTCGTATCAGTGCGAAGCCCTGAAGGTTCCGACTGCGTTTTAAGATCTATGGAGCAGTAATAACATGAAAAAATTAAGTGTAATAAAAAAAACGAATTTTTTAAAATGAAACTTTTTGTGAAATTTATCCCCCCATACGCCACATAAAGCACAAAGTGATAGATTTTGCTCCTAGTAACCAGTCAAGTATGGCAAATAAATTTCCTTCAATCTATTTGGAACAACTTCTAAGACGGATTAAATTTCCGCTTACGCGTTAATAGCGCGAAAAAAATCGCGCATTAATTGTCCTAAATTGGCCAAAATGGCAATTTTTAAACCCCCGTAACTTTACGAAAAATGAAGTCGAAATTAGTCTGAAGAAAAGAACCCACCCCGAGCACAAATATTCCGTTACTTTCTTCTCGAAAGTCGGAACAACAAGACTGCTCGTATCAGGGCGAGGCCCTGAATGGGCTCTTTTTCCTTAACATGAAAAAATTAAGTGTAACAAACAAAAACTAATTTTTCAATTTGAAATTTTTTGTAAAATTTATCCCCCCACACGCCATATAAAGCTTAAAGTGATAGATTTAGCTCCTAGTAACCAGTCAAGTATGGCAAATAAGCTTCCTTCAATCAATTTGGAACGATTTCTAAGACGGATTCAATCTCCACCTACGCGTTAATAGCGCGAACTACATCGAGCATTAAATGTCCCAAATTGGCCAAAACGGCAATCTTTAAATTCCCATAACTTTACAAAAAATGATCACAATTAAAATATCTTTTCAATTTTAAGCTCAAGACAACAATACTTTTTGACTAATTTTTAAAAAATCCCGTCAAAAATGGCTGGTTAAAAAGTCGAAAATTGTCCGAAGAAAAAAAACCCACCCCGAGTACATATATTCCGTTACTTTCATTACGAAAGTCGGAACAACTAGCAGGACTCAAGTACAAGCCCAAGTGCTTAAATACAGAATGCCAGATGAAACTGTTTTGTTGAAAGAAAATTGCAACTAATTCTTTTTTTTTATGGTTGAGTTAAACTCTACTCTAGCTGAACTCTATAAAATACGGAATTAAGCGCCACCCTAATTTTTTTCATTATCTTTATCTGATGACATTAAAACCAGTTTATTAAGATAGGAAAAAGAATCATTTTGCAAATAGTTTGTTAGATTTTACCCACCACTGAAAATTGACACTACTTTATTAATTCTAACATCGAAGACAAGCCCTTGGTGCGCACGTAGGATGCAGGAGAAACTGACAACCGTCTTGCAAAATGTATATGCATATTTAACGGGTCCAGTTATAATCAGGGGCAGATCTGGGATTTTTTCTTAGGTCAACCAAACTGATTTTCCGAGCGCTCCTTAAAGACCCTTTAAGAACACCTTAAAGACCTTATTTTTACAAGAAACTAAACAAATTTGCGCCGCACACAAATTTGTTTAGAAAAAAAACTTCAAAATGCCGTGGTCGGCCACTTTTTGGAAACTTTTGACCAAAAAGTTGCGTTTTTTTGGCGCGCGCTCCCCTTGGAAATTTGCATATATTGGAAATTTGCCCCCCCCCCCCCCCACCTCCCTACTATATCCGCCACTGAATAAAATATTTGCGCAAGGTTTGGTTTCCATTCCAAACACGCTTCAACGAGACAGTACAATAATTGACAAAAGTGACGAAAAAAAAATGCCCGGGTGGACCAAAGTAGCTTTCTTGGATTTTTTCTTACAAGAATCTTACAACTTCTAACAAAATTAGGCTCTAAAAATAATACAAGAAAGAGAATTTTTCTAATAAGAAAAATGTGAGACAGTGATTGTTCTGGCAAGAAAGTTGTGAAATACGAACTTTTCCCACAAATGTTTTGGAAAGTTTTTTTTTCGTTTCTATTTTTAAAAATATTATTACAACAAAATTCAAATTTAATTGCTGTGGAAAAATACAATAACCGAACCTCGTAAGTAAAAAAATCGATTTCCTACACGCATAAACGAAAAATTTTGAGCTAGTTTTTTTGCTGAGTTTAAAAAATTTTGTTTATCTACATGAACCCACAATCAACACGTCCAAAGCTATCTGACATGATTTGTCAAAATTGATTTCTTATTATCTCCAAAAAAACCGCTTAGAACTAGGAGAATTTTTCAAAAGATTTTGTGTTCCAGAATTTTTTGTTCAAATGGCATACGTTACTAAACCTACCGGAAATTTTGTACCTACATAAATCGAAAAACTTCTGACAATTTTTTTGAGTTGTGCTGGAGATGATTTGCTAAGAAGAAAAAATTGCCAAAACACTTTGAATATACTACACCGTACTGAGAATAGCAAATTTTTCCAAAATTTATTATTGCCTGTTATTACGCTGTAGTATATTCAAAGTGTTTTGGCAATTTTGATGAGCTTTGGCGAAGATGTTTTGCTTATAAGAAAAATGGAAGAAAATTTGTTACAAATCTTATAAGAAGTTCTTATTTTACTTTTTGTAATGTAGTCAACCCCAATAGTGCCGAAATTAAAACAAACTGAAAAGTTAAGGCAAAGGCCACTAACCCGGAAGTCTTCAATTCAAACTAAACGGTGAGAAGGCTTTGCCGCGATAACCAGCTGCTTCGCGGTGATAACCGGCTCTAATTTCTATAAAGAACCCTACACATTGCTGGCTAGCTCGCATCTTGTTGACGAGAATGCGGCGGATACTTTTGCGTTTTTTTTTAAATAAAATGTTCTTAACAGTACCAAATTACATCGTTTTTCGGCTCAGTTGAAAATATTTCAGTTTTGGCAATGTTGTGTTTAAAAGGTCGGTTGATGAACGCGTTGTTTTGACTCACAAAATTGTATTTTTTGTATTTTTCATTGCATATCGAAGATATTAGATCTACGCATTCAAGAAAATAAGACTGCTCGTATCAGGGCGAAGCCCTGAATGTTCCGACTACCTTTTAGGGTTTTATGGAGCAGTAATAACATTAAAAAATTTAATGTAATTAAATAAAATCAATTTTTTTTCTAAAAATTGAAATCTTTTTATGAAAACCATTCCCCCACACTCCAAATAAAGTATAAAAAGATAGATTTAGCTCCTTGTAATAAATCAATTATGGCAAATAAGCTTCTTTTAACTAATTTGGAACGATTTTAAGACGGATTAACTCTCCGCTTACGCATAATAGCGCCAAATATATCGCAGGCTAATTGTACCAAATTGACCAAAATGGCAATCTTTAAACCCCCATAACCTTACGAAAAATGTTCACAAGTAAAATATCTTTTCAAACTTGAGCTCAGGACAACAATACCTTTTGAATGATATTTGAAAAAATCCGTCAAAAATGGCTAGTTAACAAGTCGAAATTTGTCAGAAGAAAAAAAACCCACCCCGAGCACAAATATTCCGTTACTTTCGTATCGAAAGTCGGAACAATAAGAAAGAAAAAGTTGCCAGCTTGGGCTATTTGGATTTTAATCAATGCGTGTATTATATCACTCATGAATCATGCCCAGCGCTTTAGTTGCGAATCAATCCAAATAAGTTTTCTGAAATGAATGGAGGCAAGCTGATCAGCTCAAATATTTCGTTACTTGACGAATATCTTACTTGATGACTTGAAACTTCAATTGGTTCAAAAAAAAATTAACACTTTTTATGTAAGGTTAAATGATAGTCAAAATGTTCAAAAATTGGCCGCTATGCAAAAAACTTTGTTGGTTTAGCGGACTTTTTAGAGTTGATCTGTGTTGCATTGTGTTTTTTGTGTTGTAGTGTGTACAGTTTGCTGATGATAGCACTGGACAGATATGTGGCAGTGGTGACACCCTTCTCCATGCTGTTCAAGAGAGTCACCCTCAAGTGGTGGCTTCTCCTCATCTGGCTTCTCTCCTTCTCGTCCGCCCTCCCACCCACCATCATCTCACACATCACACACATTAGGTACATCATGAAGATTCTAGAGTTCTAGAACATTCTGAAAGTATTCTAGAACATTATGAAACTATTTTGATGTAATTTGTGGCGTTGACTTCAATGTGGGCCAATTAATTTTTTTAATCCTTGGGGGAACGTATCAAAATTTGTAAAGAGTTTTTGCTGCTCCTCACAACTTTCGTTTCAATCAGCTGATTATGCTTCTTTTTTGTACTAATCTCAACCCCCTCCTCAAATACAGATCTTCATGTTATTATGGTTATCGCTTTCAGTCCCAAACTTTTTTTACAGTTACTGAGAAGTATACTTTGAGATTGAACCAGATTTTTGAAAATTGAATGAAAACGAGAATTAGCTAAACTAAATCAACTCCTTTGCTCTGGCGTTATTCAGAAAAATCACAGATTAGTGCAGCATCAATTGCCCAAGTTTAAATTACTTCCAACGGACGCATTTATTCATCCCGGTTTTATGGCCACGGGGCATAAAATTTGCAACTTTTTTTTCAACTAGAAGATGAACGAAGTTTTTCTTCACGTTTTTGTCGTTTCCTCTGCAATTATCTTAAGTTTAGGGCTCAAATTTTGACACATGCCAGATAAAATTAATTTAAACATTTAGTTCGGCCAAAGTTTGAAAAATTTGTTTCGAATTTGTAAATTAGCCAGCATTTCATAACTATTTTAGAGGCCTTCTTGCTTTGGAAACATCCTCGCACAAAATATAAGGATTTCGAATTAGTTGTCTCAAATTAGTTATGTTGAAAGCTGATGTTGGAAGCAGATTCAAATTCCTTGTATTTTTGCGAGGATGTTTCCAAATCAAAAACAATCATAGCATAATTATGAGATACTGGCTAAATTCTGCATTCGGAACGAGATTTTCCGAACGTTTAGTCCAGCTAAGTCCGATCAATTAGTTTTATCTAGCATGTGTTAGATTTTAAACCCTATATCTTAAATAGCTGCAGAGAAAACAACAAAAAGGTGGAGAAAACTTATATTCATTTGCTCGTTGAAATCAAAAACCTGCAAAATCTATGTCCCGTAACTAGAGAAGGGTACTATACACTTATTTCTGCTAGTATGAAGTGGTCATAAGGAAGAAAAATCAGCTCTTCGACTATCGCACCTATCAATCATAATTGGAGTACCTTTTCACCACAGGTTATGTAATTTGCTATTGTTAATTTCATAATTTTTAATGCAACAATGAGAATATAAACTCACAACTAACATCTTTATTCGTGAGGAGACAATAAGTAACAGGCGACAATTCTTAACAGACAACAATTCGTTACAAGCGACAATTTGTAACAGTAGGTTGGGCAAGGATCACAGATTCACACGCAGTATTCCTCTCGTGCCTGGTGCAGCGGAGAGAAGCCGAGCGAGTATGCTACTTGTCAATGAGTTGTTACAAGCTGTCGCTTGTCACAAATTGTTGCTTGCCACAAATTGTCGCCCTACCAGTTTTATTTGACGCTACTTGACAATATTTTCACCACTTTTAATTTTATTGTTGATTAAAGAGGTCCTACGAATAAATTTAGGATTTTACAGCATACAATAAATTTTTTAAAAATGGTGAAAAACAAACAGACTGTTAAACATGCAAAATTTCAATGCATTGATTTCACTACAGACTGCAAATAGGTTTTGCAAAAAAAAAATCCAAATATGGGGGGAATTGGAAAATAGCCAATTTTAGATGTTTAAACGGTTCATGATTCATTATAATGATAACATTTTGGGTGAAATTTTAATAAATGATAATCAATTATAGTTGATTATAATTTTTCCGAAAATCTTTTATAATCTTTCACAATCTCTTGTAACCTATTTTAATCTATATAAAAGATTATGATCCTTATTTCTATAGAAAATCATTTATAATGCATTACAATTTAGCTATTCTGCATGAAATCATAGTGAAAATCAGTAAGAAATAGAAAATCAGTACACAATAAACAGTAAGAAAACAAACAGTAAGAAAAGATACCAACTGAAAAAAAAAACACAAAACAAAATAAAATGAAAAGGAGCGAAAAGGATTACAATTCAATAAAACTTCCAAAAAAAATTCAAAAAGTTATCGATTATAATCGATTTTAAAGATTATAGTGTTTTTTTTTGTTTCGAAAAATAGTAACATTATAATCCATTTTAGTCGATTATAGTCGTTACTTTTTGAAATTTATGGAGACTGACAATCAAAATCCATTATAATCTATTCTTTTTTCTTTTTACTGAGTGCGGGTTGTTTCTGATCATGCTCTGATCATAAAAACAAAACCATGGCTCTTTTACAGTCCCCCCCTTTCAAATTCAATTTTGAAAAGCTTAATTAACGTTGTCATATTGCAATGAAATTTGGCATGGTGAACAAATCTTCAACTGTGAACAGATTTGTTCGTCATACATAACAGCGTAACATCACGCATTTAGCCGTAACAACACGTAAAACAAACATAAAATTCAGTATTTTGAAAGGGAAAACTGGAAAAGAGCCAAAACCATCTGTTGGAGCCAGCAAAGGGTCTCAGCCTGAAACAAAAAAAAACTTGAAACATTTGATGTTTTGATGCTTTATTACAGGGAGCATATTTAATTGTCTCGTCTATACCCGGGTTGAAGTCCCACCGTTAATTATCGCTTTTTCTGTAGTGTCCCAGTGATCGCTATTTTCCAGCGCTGATTCATGTATAATTCAGAGTTTGCTGCATAGATAAACTTGCGATTTTTCAGAGCTATTTCAGTATTGATTCCGTAGAAAATCATCGCAAAAACTTGAGAAATTTTAACTCATTCTAGTAGCTTTTAAATGAGGGTTATAGAAGATAAGCTCTTTAGCTTAAGTGTCATTAAGGGTTGATAGCGCAGAAGTAGCATACAGGTCTACAAATGTAAAGCGCTGTTTTTTCTCATTTTGATAGGCTTTTTATTGCTGTTTCATTGCTGAAAATAAGCCAAATTAGCGATATTTATCGATAAAATTTGCTATTGTGGCAATGAACATCGATAATTCATCGATGACGATTGCTGTTTTTTTTTCACTTTTAATCGCTAATTTTTAATGTGAGCTCAACCCGGGTAAGCTTTGTTCTTGTGCTCATTCGACTTTTTTCAGCACGCATGAAATGCTCATTTAAACATTTAATTTCTTGTGAGAATATTCGAAACCTTCATTTTAGCTTAGTGGAAACCATATCCGGTCTCAACAAACGTTTTCGCCCCAAAACTGAGCGCCTTTGGCTCACCTTATTTATCATCAAATTGTGCTTCATGTGTGTTAGTACACGCCATACTCATTAAAATACGACAAAAATATTTGTTCATTAGCTTTCAAGGCTCACCTGTAAACCTAAGTTGTCTTGATATTTATCTATCTGTCTGTGTATAACTCAATATTATTACTCAGATAGCGACCTGGGTTGTAAAAGGCCGAAGTAACGCTGCATCTGATTGAGCAGAATTTAGGAGGCGTAAAATCCTAGATTTTTTGGGTTTTCATTATAGTTTCTGTACTAATTCGAGAACACTTCAACTTCTTCGAAACTTCAATTCTGCTTTTCGCATAAAAAATGGACATAAAATCCCAGGCTTCCTTGTTATGTTCCGAAAAACAAACTCAATCCACAAGAGAACAAAAGAATCCGGGAAGGCCAATAAAAGAATCTGAATCTAAACTTGAAAGTCAAAATCCAGTTTTATGCCATGAAAAAAGATGCAGAGCAAGTTTGAGTGACTGCAAAACAAAATTTATCTGCAAGACTTGCGGTGAAAAAGAAGACCCCGAAAACACTACCAAATATTTTTGCCTCGATTGCATAGCCGTGCATATCCGAAATTCAGATGAAGTTACCGACCAGAAAGGTATTCCGGTATCTGTAAAAAGCATAAAAGAATCGAAAACTTTATCTGCTCTACCTGTGATCTGAAAATGATTTGCCTGAAATGTTGTTTGAATCATCACAAGGCACACGATTTCTCGGATGTTATTGAAGATGAGGACGCAATTTCGTTCCCCATTTATGAGACCCAAAAGGCGCTGGAGCAACTCTGTCGTGTCGATAAACAAACTGTTACCGTATTAGAAAAATGCAAAGCTACAGAAACGAAATTTGCAGCTGTCACCGATATTTATAGTGTTGATTACATCAATGACATGCTTCAAGATATATGCTCAGGGGCTATACAATTGGTGCAACCAGAATTAAAATTCGTGAAAGAGTTTCAGAAAGAGCAAAAACGATTGCTATCAAGTGCGTCGAGCAAATGGGAATCGCTTTTGAACGAGATAGGAAAATCACAAAGTGCCGCTCGAGAAGTTTTATCTTCCTCTCCCTTAACCGCTGCGGGGCTCTTATCTGACAAACAAGTAACTTCGCTGATTCAAAAACTAGGACAAGAACAAAAGTATGGAGTATTCTATTTAGCAGCGGGATCGATTGAAAACTTTCACTCAAACATTGTTAGGAATCGCAAGCAGCTGCAGAACGATATAGCTCAATACTTGCAAGAGTTTTTGAAGCATTTCAAATATGAAAAGATCACAATATCAAAACTGAATGCCCACACGATAATTGATCCATTTCATGAGACAAAAATAATTGGAAACAGCGGAAATTTACTGTTAGCGTCTTGTACTCAGTATTTTTCTGTCGCTATTCCAAAAGCCGAGGGGTATCAGATTTCCAAATTCTGTATGACAACGTGTGAATCAAGTTATTCTTATCACAAATCGCAACCAGAAAACCAGCATTTTAAATTCAAATTCATTCCAAGCTTCAATGAAATAAGTTATTTTTGTGGTGGGAATCTTGTATATAATTTCAACCAACAATACGATAGTTCTCAGGTTCTCAGAGCCGAGAAATCTCTAGCTTATTTTGATTTTCGTGAATCGTACCCAATGGTGATTATGAGTTGTCAAACTACTGGTTCCTGGAAGACAACTTACCAGTTTGTTCAATTCGAGCAACTCAGTCAAAGCCCTCCTGACAC